GTTGTGGAATCTACAATAAGGATACGTACTTGAACAACTAACGCTAACATGCTTCCTATTAAGATGGGAACTAAGGATAGAACGTGGTTAAGAAAACTCCTATCAATCAGAGCAATTGAGTATAGAAAATTGTAGTTGGTGAAAAAATTGCACCACCTGACCCAACCCCTATGGAACAAGTATCAGAAAGGGTATCATATTTTCACAAACCTAAACGATCTTCTGCTTGAGGAACTGAAATCTCAGACCAAAAGAAAAAAAAGAAAAACAAAGGAACTGAAATCTGCTTATAATAGAAAGTATGGTTATTACATTGACTTGTAAAGAATCTGGTTTCTCTTACACTGGGATCTGGTAGCTGGAAAAGAATAGTGTATGGCAATTTTAGGGGACAATAGTGCACATGAAGAATTAATGTCATATGGCATTCCGAGGAGTTTCTTGCCATATTTCAAAAAATACAATCAAATTGAAACAAAAATATAAATACGTATTTGAAATAGTAATCACCGTGAAACAGTGGAGGAATTGGAAGATATCATCTCTACAAGCCGGTTATGCAAGTTGCCATTTGTCACAAGGATACCACCAGAAGGGTATATATTCCTCCGTCCAAGTTGATCTGCTGCAAGATTAATTTGATCTCCCTTCCAGTCAGTCACCTGGTTTTACAGGGGATAATCTCTTAAAAGGAGGATATTGGGATTTCTCAATGGAACAAGTATCAATAAACAAAGTACTGGCTCCTCCTGTTGTACATGTAGGTGTTATTTTGTTTAGTTCGCTCTATTTAGTCCATTGAAGCAAGAGGTGTCATCCTAGATGATCAGTCTGTTTTACCTAGTATCAGAAAACACTTCTCCAAGGAAGGCTGGAGAAACTTTGTTTTGCAATAGATATAACAATCATAAATAACTTTAAAAAGAAAATATAGATACCAGAAATAGTCAAAGGCCTCCAATTTTAGTTTTCTGTTCTGAATTCCCATTAGTTAACCTCTTTGCGGTTTATACCAATCCTACAGTGGAGCTTAGCAGCAAACTCATATTTTATAAAATGTATTATGACTTAAATGCACCAAGTTGGATACATTATGCGATACTTCAAAAAGAGTCATAGAAAAATACCTTTCCCCCTGATTCATGCACGCATATAATACCAGCAGCGTGATCCCAAGCCTACATTGTGATAAGTTGAAGTAAGTCACACTGATGTAGTTCCTATAATCCACTTACAACTGGAATGAATTGCAATACCTTGGTAACTTTTTGAACTTTCACATTCTGCATATAAAGAGATACCCCGCCTGAAGCCACCATTATATACTTGGATAAACTGCATGCCAAAAAGAAGAAAGGTACATACAAGTTCCTGTAAGCATTGACCAAGAAGCTGAAAGTAATTTGTATTGGATAATGGAATTTCTGAAATACGGTCCCTTCACTTTATTCTAATAAGACTAATATGTCAAGAGCCAATTGTACAATGGTGAATCAGATTCAACACTATAGAGAAACTTTTGCTATGTAAACTTGAGACACAAGACCATCCTGTGCAAACAGTGGTCAATGAGTCATTGTGCAACACAGGCAATTGGTGATAGAGTATAGATTGTTTCTCTATGTATGCGAGAGTAAACAGATAGAAGAACAAGTTTAACAATCATTTAAAACTACTTTAAGATATCTGAGCAATCTGACTTTTTAGTAGAAGTAGTCAAGGAGGAAGATAATAAACCTTCCGCAACAAGATTTCACAAGAAGAATTTGACCCTCATCAATGCTATCAGCACTAGTTGTTGAGGTGAACAAAGCTGACAGCGGATATGACTCCCATGCATCACTCGCTCTGATAGAATAGCGCGCTTCTTCCACCATGCAACATCCATCAACGTAGCACCGCGTCCAAGAATAACGCATTTTGGCTGTGAGATTTAGCACAGATGACAGGCGTTTTGTCCATGTGCCACACCCTGTATGAGCAACCATAATAATCCCTGATCCAGGTGGAGTGTTTTTTTCTTCCTGGACTTCAGAGGTGGATTTGTTGGATACATCATTCTGCCAGTTTGGGCAGCCCATGACACCTAATACAATCTGTCCGTCGACTACAAGAGCCAAACCTACCTGAAAATTGAGGTCGTTTATAGGCAACTCATATGGTAATGAGCAATGCAGTGAAACAGGTACGAATTTCTATACAGAATACAGCTTCAATCATTTCTTTTCGCAACATAAAAGTGCTATTACTATGTTTGATTTGACACCATTGGCCTTACTTCTTAAATAAGAAAGCAATAGCAACCATAATCACTTAAAAGATGTAATCTCCTTGAAGATTTATTTTCAGTCTGACCAATAACAAAGACATCCATTTACCTCTGGGTTTTTCTCCACACAAAAAAGGCATTATATAGAGATTTCTATTACGATAACTTGGTAGAATTTGTCTAAAATTCCTACTTGAGTTAAGCTTCCCCTCTTGCTCTTTCTCTTTGCCTCTTATTTGGATACTTCCATTGTGTAGAACAGATTGCGCGTTCTTTCTGTTTCTATGATCATATTCACAATTCCTACTTGAGTTAAGCTTCCCCTCTTTCTCTTTCTATTTGCCTCTTACTTGGATACTTCCATTGTGTAGATTGCGTATTCTTTCTGTATCTATGATTATATACACAACATAAATTACTCCATTTTGTATTTATTTCCTGCATCCTAAGTTTGAATAAAAACATCCTTAGTAATACTATCAGGAAGGTTGGGTTGGAAGAAGAAACTCTTGAATAGTATAATTTCAATAGTGTCAACTTCTAGCAGCATTTGATTAGTTTAGATACAGTAAAATGCATCTTGTAATATCGATACGACATTAGACACAATTATATAACTACAACTTGATGACCGATGAACAAATTTACAAGCAAATATCTTGTATTCCATAGCAAAGTTAATTACAGGTGCCATAAGATTCAAAACTCACTGTCATGACCAAATATCAGGGAGAGGAGAAAGAAACTCGATGCAACATTGTTGAAGTTAGTAAGACATACCACATACAATTCCTGATTTCCTTTCACAAATCCTTTTGTGCCATCAATTGGGTCCAGTACCTGCATTATGCTTCTCAGTTCATTTTGGAAGGCAACAATGTTTAACTAAAAATTGCAACCATGAAAGAAAGCAACGATTTTTAAGGAGAGAGAGCATAAGGAACACACACAAAGCTGCAATCTTTGTAATGTTCAATTCAAGCATACGATGCAAATGCAAATCCGAAACAAACCCAATACGTGGCCGGCTGAGCTCCGAAAGTAAAACCATCCTGGCCCCCTCTGTCAATGGCTTCCAATACATGATCAGGCGTCCATGGGTTTTCTCCATGGCTGGTCTTGCTAATAACCGCATCGAAAACTGGGCCTACTAGATTATTTGAACGTACAAACGCAGAGTCTTCTTCCGCCACCAAGGGAATGGAAGGGAAGCGTTTACCAAGCTCTGCCACCACCAAACTCCAATCAAAATTTGCTAAAAAAATAAATACCAAAAACAAAAGGACTAATTAGCAATTACCCAAACTCAAGAGGGCCTGGACACCAAAATCCGCCACCGTGACCGGAGTCTGGTCGTTTTTTTCAACAACCCGTCGTTTACTCGATAGCAAAGACGATTGGACTTCGACGCAGAGCGAGCAAGCTCTCTCTACGGCGTCGACGGCGGCTTCCAGCTCCCGATGGTACTTGGCCTTCTCAGTGCCGAGCGGCAAACTCGACCTCACGCTGAAGCGTCGCCTGCGGACCGCCGGATCGGGCTGACTGAATCGGACGGTCGAGAAATGCCGGGCTGAGTGGACGAGAATCATGGCGGGTTCAACGGTCGGCTGTATAGTTTGAGTTAAACAGTTGTTAAAAGGCGGTTGGTGGAGACTGAAGCCTGCCGTAGTGGGCCTGAAATTCGGAGTGAAAATTTTATACGGCCCAAATTCCGGCTTATCCATTTTATCATTTCAGTCTGGGCCGTTTTTTAAACCCTTATCTTTTTTCCCTTTTTTTTTGGTCTGAAAACCCTTCTCTTTAGATTATGACTTCAAACTCGCCCTAAATATTGATTTTTTTTTTAATGTAAAATTGTTTGATTAGAAATATTAATCTTGCTAGTTGAAAAATAATTTTGAAAAAATAATTTCAAATCATTTGTGCTTAGCTTAGACGCATTTTGTGCTCCTCTTTCTTGGACCAATAATGTCATAACAACCTAACACAATTTATACTCATGTCACAAAATATAAGGTTTTATAGGTCATTCGATAAATCGAGTACGTTTGCCAACGTCTTGATAAAGAGGTTATTTTGTTGCTAATAGGGTTTAGAAGTCTTATGCCATGTATGTGCCTCATCTATTTTCTTTAATGCAAATAATATTGTGAGACGATATTGAATAAGAGAGATTTGAACATACGATCTCGAATGCATAACTAACTACTCTCAACTAATTGAATTACAAATCTCTTACCGTGCCTCATCTATCGTTTAGATAAAATCATTTGAACGTGTTTACCCCGATCAAGAATAATTCAAAACATCTAAATCAGAAATGATCTTTTATCATGTAAAGGATAATTATTTAAAATCCGGAAGACAGAAACTTCCAGAATCCCACGTAGACAATCTTGTCCTTATCCTGAAGTTTAGAGCCATCCTAAGACACGTGGCCCTCGCTCACTGGATAAGACCCCACTGCCCCCCCAGTTTTCATTGCAAAGTCCGTTGTGATCACGCAATCCATCACATCACTGCCGTCTGTTTCCTATTTTTCAGCGGTCAACAAAGCCATAGATTTCTAAAACCTGGGATTCATCTACTGAATTTACCTTTTTCTCTCTTTACCCTCTCTATATATACAAGCAAGATCAATCCAAAAGCAAAACTGATATAAAAAAAACAATTGCAACCCAAGATATTTTGTTGCTTTGAAAATTCATTTGTGGGATATTATTATCTGGGCATGAGCTTGAGGGACGTGAGTAGAGTGGTGTACCAGGCGGGGATGAGGGTCATGCAGGGGGTCAAAGAGCAGGCTCCCAAGTGTGGTGGTTCATCATCTTCTTCTTCTTCTTCTTCATCTTCCTCTTCAAAGCAGGCATGGCGTTTCTCTTCATCTGTTGATTCGGGTGCTTTCAAGGCTGCCAACAGTGACAAGGTTAAGCAAGCAGAGGAGTCTCTCAGGACTGTCATGTACTTGAGCTGTTGGGGTCCTAACTGATCAGCGGTGGCGTTTTACTCTTTAATCTAAACCAAAGCAAGCAGCTACAAACGAGATTAATCAAATTTGAGAGGTGTCTTGCTTTTAACTCTTCAGCTTATTGCTTTTTGGTGTAAATTTTGATGGGAGATGTATAAATTTCTTGTGTAGTTTGTATACATGTATATTATTTACCCTTACCCCTTTCTATCAAATTTCAAGTCAATATCCGATCGGTTTGAAAAATGAGTCCAATTGCAAGGTTGAGTGGGGCTAGTTAGTGAAGGTAATATGTCCGTTCCTTTACACTCGAATTCGATCAATTTCTTTCTAATCGCTTGGATCTCAATGTATGTGACCAAAACTACCCTATTTAATTTATTACACAAAACAAATGAAAATTGAAAAGTTAAGGACATTGGGAAAACTCAAAATCTACTGGTATGATAAATAATTGATGGCTATGATGACTTGGATTAAAACGTGGATGAATTCAGTGGTTACAGATCAAATTATGCACATAGCAAAATTCCATGGGCTCATTTTGGAAAGAGGGAGTTCAATAGTGTTCACTATAGCCCAAGCCAAACGCATCGGCCTTCATGCCACAGCCTGCAAGCCCAATCTAATCTGCTAACTAACCACCTTCTCCGGTCTCCACCACAAATAAAAAATCTTTCAAAATAAAAGCGATAAGCTTCTCTTCCCCTGTTCTTCTTCTTGCTCTTGTCTTGCCACTACGAACACGCGCATTTACCTCAAGAAACAGAGCAAAACCCTTCACCTAAATCAGATAACATGTTATCGCTCAAGCTTTGCAAAAGCCACCATAACTCACCCTTCCTCTCAAACCCTCATCAACTTCAACAAGCAGCAAAAACTCAAAGTGCCCATTTTGCACCGTGCAAAATACTGAGCCCCTATAAAAGAAAACTTGGCGTGAGAGCAAGCAGCAGTGGACAAGGAGGAGAAGCAGCTGAGAAGAAAAGCAGCGAAAGACGACCTTTCCTAACCCTAGAAGAAGCTGGTCTAGTAGAAATATCTGGTCTCAGCACTCACGAGAGGTTCCTATGTCGTTTAACGGTAAGTAGAAATTAATACATACACATTTTTATTCTTTAATTTCCTCTCTAAATATTTATTCATTTTAAATTTTGTGTATAAATATGTACACATAGATATCGTCTTTGAATCTGCTGAGAGTGATATCAGAGCAAGAAGGTTGCCCAATTGAGGAGCTAAATGCTGGCAAGGTATGCGACTGGTTTGTGAAGGACAAGCTGAAAAGAGAGCAGAACTTAGACTCTGCCGTCCTTCAATGGGATGATTCTTCCGAGCTTCTCTAACTAAACAAGACTTTGTAAAAACGACATCCAGTTTTGAATAAAACGCTTGCACGGCTTAATTGTCTTATGTTTACAATTTAGGAGGACGCCTTTCCTGCTCTTGTCACGCTTTTGGGCATTGGAAGGCAAATGTTCCAAGTAGTTTTATTTTCTTGGTTTAATTAATTTAATAATAATTCAACCAAAACATTCTTGAATTTGAATTTGAATGAGGGTTCCAGGTTGTTTTCATGGCCAAGGCGACTTCAAACCCGTAATTGACGCTAAAATTGAATATTTTTTTTAATTTTAAATTCTTGGTATGGAATCTAAGACCTAGTTATCTCTATCTCCACGTCTTAATCATGGAGGTCATGTCCAAAGCCAAATTGCTATTTAGATAAGCTTGTGGGAGAATCGTTTTTTTGGGATAAATTACAATTTCTTATATAAAGATAAGAGTTCAACAATACCACTGACTTATTAGAAATGAGATTTGTTTAGCAAGACAAAATTATTTATTATCTTTTGCAAATTAAAATAAAACATAAATTAACTTTTTTCACTCTTTCAAAAATGAAAAGATAAGTTCAAGTTGCATGTCTTAGGCCGGTTGGTCAAATCAATGAGCTCGTTCTTTTCACTCAATTTCAAAATTCGCTATATGTATAAGATTAATTTAAAGTAATTTAAATTATAATTTGTTTGTTGTATTAAAAATAAATTGCCAAACATATCGATAATAAAATTAAAATTTATTGTGGGCTTAGTGGGTGGCAGTCCATTGTATGCTATTTGCTATCCTCCAATTCAGCCTTTGATTGATTGGCAGTCCATTGTGGCAAAAAATAAAAAGAAAAATCAAAGTCTAAAATGTTGTTGCGTTGGGTCAGCTTGGAGGAAAACAGTGAAAAGCTACTGTGATTTGTTGGTCATCACTGGCACCACTCAACTCAAGCATTTCTCGTGTTCACATTCCACATAGGATTTAATTAATAATTAAAGCGCACTCAAGAGTTTGTTAAGCAAGCAAATAAGAAACTAATCCCACCAAAACCCACCGTTAACAAAATATTACAGTCTGAGACCCTCTCGGCTCAGGCCTCTGATTTGATTAACGCAAAGTCAACTCGGCAGCCTCGCGTCAACGGTTTGTCTTTTGCGACCCAGACTTGGGCTTGGTTCACTTTCACAGAAAAGTGGAAAAAGCATTCTATCCTCAGTACGGCGTCGTTTCCACCATTGTCCAAGTAGTAAAAGTACAAAGCGGGAGGAGAGGACGCTACAAAAGGTGAGCACAAAAGGCCGGGCGTGAACTCAATCGGTCAAATTCAATTAAATCCTCCCCCTCAGTTCCGATTTGCCCCTCTCACTTGTCACCACCAACCAACGCAGACGCAGAGTTACAGACCGTGAAGCCGGTAACCGACGCCGTTTGACTTTGTCTAATGCTCTGAGAGATGACCATAGCTGACCAAAAGTCGTCGTCCGACGGAAAAGTCTGGGGCTTCTTCAAGCGGCCGTTTCGGCCGTCCGGGAACACCGCCGTTACGACGTCGTCCACATCGTCGTCGCACAACGCTCCTCAGCACAGCAACGGTCCTCAAGGCGACGGATCAAATCCACAAGCTACGAATTCGGTGTCGTCCGTCGCCAGGTCGCTGCTCCCCACTCGCCGTAGACTCAAGCTCGATCCCCACAATAAACTCTATTTTCCTTGTACGTCTTATCTAGTCCATTTTATTAATTTATTCTAATTATATATATATATATGTATATACACACACCATATTTGGTATGTTACAGTTTAATTGCGTTTGCCTAAAACAGTTGTATATTGTCATAAATTGTTGTGGATTTAGATTTGCTTCTAGATTTTAGATGATGTTGCGGATTTTCGTTAGTATGAAATTATTTGTTTTAGCTTGATGATTGTCTAAACATAAGGATTAAAGTTGAGCTAATCGTGTAGCTCATCAGCGATATCAATGATTTTTGTATTGCTAATCAGAATTCTTGGAATGGTTTAATGGCTAAAGAGGCCAATCAAGCAGTTTATTTAGGTATTTATTTGTGATTAAAGATGTATGCAGGTTTGCTCGCTTTATTGCTGCCTGATTATTCATTTGGTTATTTATATGTATGAACTCTATGTTTCTTGAAGGTGAACCTGGAAAGCAGGTTAGGAGCGCCATTAGAATTAAAAACACAAGCAAGTCATTTGTAGCTTTCAAGGTACCATAACCATCTTATGTTTACAGTTTTCTTTCTGCTAATGTCGATGACATTGTTAAAGCTTCTTATCCTGTTTGAATTTTTCTAATGAGTTGCTTACTTTTCTTACCGTAGTTTCAAACAACTGCACCAAAAAGTTGTTTCATGCGTCCTCCAGGAGCTATTCTTAGTCCTGGCGAAAGCATTATAGCAACTGGTAATGGTTTTTGTATAACTTTTTGCAATTTCATCGAATGCCCTTTTATATTATGGAGTTGGAACCATTATTATCTTTCTATTCAAGGGGTTTCTTAATTTTGCTTTTCTAGCAAGTTTTTCTTAATTTTGGTTTGTGATGACAGTATTCAAGTTTGTGGAGGTTCCGGAGAACAATGAAAAATTGGTGGATCAAAAGAGCAGGGTAAAATTTAAAATCATGAGCCTGAAGGTGAAAGGAGCAATGGACTATGTACCCGAGCTGGTGAGTTGCATGCATCCTTTAAAAACTATCTTGAGTTTTAGTGTTAATTTATTAACTAAATTTGATAACCATGTTCAGAAATATTTGATTTGGGTGTTCTCTTAGGTGTGCTTATTTATAGGCCTGAACATCTCTATGACTGAGCTATTTAGATTTTTCGTGTATGTTTAATCTTAGTTCTTTTTTAAGATGGTACATTTAGTATATAATACTGATTGCAGGTAGTAAGTGACACTATGAAGTTTTGTATTTGAATAAAAAACTGGGCATTGCTGTAGTTGTCCTGGAGTAGATGTCAAATGAATTATGGCTATATGCGGCAATTTTGTTTTATTGAAATCATAATCTCCCTGCCATGGTGATACTTTTCTTGAGGTGACTATTAAAGTTTCCGGACTTAATGGAATATTAACTCTTTTAATTAAAAGCTGATTGAGTGTAGTTAATAGCAGTCTTCATTCTGAAGAAGTTGTAGCCACGTCTTCAGAAACGGTATAAAGCTTCGGTTTTTAATACATTTGAATTATCTTAGCTGTTGATTGCATAGTTTTTCACAATAGATTTAAGTTGATATGAATTGGCAGTCATGCTGAAAAGTGAAAAGCTTGTGTCTGCTGTTTGCATTTATGGTATGCAATAAAATTCAAATTTGTTTTGAATTTTTTGAATGGTCTAAACTGAGCATTTGTCTGCTGTTATGGTACTCCTGCTGCAGAGGATGCATGTTTCAAGGGATTATAACTTTTTTGTTTCTTTAAGGCTATGGAAAAACTGAAGTGCCAGTCATGTGGAACATTCTTTTGAAAAAAATTTCTGGCACTAACCCTTAGAAATTCTTTCTTGTGAACAGTTTGATGAGCTGAAGGACCAAGTGGCAATAGAGCAGATCCTACGGGTTGTCTTTCTAGATCCAGAGCGTTCTACCCCGGTAAGTGTGGTTGATGTGTCCTTAACTTGATGTCAATATTTGTATTTGTAAAGTGTATATCATGAACCTGCTTAGGCATGTGTTCACTGTTCACATTTATGATACTGATACTGAAAGGGATACCTGTTTTAAGAGATGAACCTTTTTTTTGTTTCTTCAAGGCTATGGAAAAACTGAAGCGTCAATTGGCTGATGCTGATGCTGCACTTGAGGAACGCAAGAAACCTCCAGAAGATACTGGTCCGAAGATTATTGGAGAAGGGCTCGTGATAGATGAATGGGTGAGTACTTTGTTCTGTTGTGACGCGAAAGTTGGTTGTGAAATGAATTTCCCCTTATTGTGTGCTTCATCCATTTTTATCGTTTCTTTCTGTCTTGTTTAGAAGGAGAGGAGGGAAAGATATCTTGCTAGGCAGCAAGTGGAAGGGGTGGACTCGGCATGACCTGGTGCTTCATTTGTTTTGTAAGGTTTTCGCTAATTGAGTGGAAAAATCAATAGCCCACTCTGGTCTATCACTTGTAACCCTCTTTTATCTTTTCCCGCAGATGTTGTATTCAAAAAAATGACGAGGACAATCCATTATACTTTGATGTAAAAAAAGAAAACAATTTGAAGTGGAGAGTCTCTTGTAATGTGGGAGTACTCTGAACTTAGCTATTAGTCACATCTCTCTGTAGATAATGCGATTTTGTGTTGATTTCGTGTCTCTTTCGAGAATAAAACTGGTCTTTTGAATGATGTGGAAGTGTACAAGTTAAGTTGAGCATCGACTAACATTACCATACTTTTAGGCAAATGTTGGTCCAGTTACGATATATGCAGGATCTCTTTGCAAAGTCTAGGATATTTTAAGTAGGAAATTAGAAATATGGTTCCAAGTACCAAGGCCAACTATGAAACTCTCAACCGTTATTTGACGGATATGTGTGAAGCTCCTAGCAAGCATTAAGAACTTAAAACTTTGATATCTGCTTCTACTTGCCCGAGAAGTTAAAACTTTTCTTTGTTGTCTTCCCAAGAAAGAAGCCTTTGGATTTGGTCACCGTCAAATTTGTAGAACGAATAAATAAATAACAAGAAGAACAGCAGCCACTGGTAACACCAGAAACCATGGCTTCCTACCAATGGTTTTTGGTTTTGTTTTGGGCTTATCCAAAACCACTAAAACCCCATCCCTCTCGCGCCAACTGATAAATACTCTGCCAGCCAAAGCTCCCTCTCCCTCTTCCTCTATATAATAAACTCACTACTCAGAGCACCCCTTAAGACAAAGGCTTGTCCAATTCAGTTACGAATTACAATACAATCAAGAAGAAGAAGAAGAAGATCAATAAGTTGTGTGAAAAGAAAAGGCAAAATGAGTTATTGGGTAGGTGCGGGCCCAGGCACAGGCACTGTGGAAGGGCGTAGAGATGATGATGCGAGCAGCAGCAAGCTCAACAAACAGAGACGCTTGTTCTTGTCATGCAATAGTAATAGTAATAATCCAGCGAATGGAGGGAGCGAAAGTGATAGGAGAAAGCAGCAGGCTATGGCTGAAGAGTCCCTTCACAAAGTCATGTACTTAAATTGTTGGGCACAAAGCTAGCTAGTTAACAGCTTGCTTGCTTGGCCCAGAAACAAACAAACAAACAAGCACAAATTTGAAATTTCATTTGTTCCTACCTGTAACTTGGGATATGAAAATGTTTTTAGTTTCTTTACCTCTTATGCTTGCAGTCATGGCTATTTTTCCTACAATAATTAGTTTGGGATGGTTAGAAGAAGAAACAAATGGAATTGGAGTTTTCTAGAATACAAATGCTCCACTCAGACTCTCCGATCAACACGATCAACACCTTACAAACAAGAAAGTGTAGCTCTATGGAACAATTAAAAAAAGAAGGGTGTTTCACTAAAACACCCAAAATGGGAACTGAAATTATAAAAAAAACCCAACATCCAAAACACTTTATAAACACACCCAAAACTCATCATTACACACACTCAAAACCCATTTATAAACACACCCAAAAAATATACAATTGTTGACTTTGAGGTTGATTTTGGGTGTGTTTCTATGTTTAAATAGTGTTTGAGTTTTTTTATAAATACATGTATAGGATTGGGTTTATTTATAAATTTGTAAAAAAAACCTGCCTATATTTTGAACAATAAAAAAAATTAACAAAGCCAAGTACAAAAGATCAAACAGAATGCAATATTAATGGCACTTATAACAAGTCGTGTAAAAGAAATGAGAAAAAAAATTCAGAAAAATATGTCTAAAGAGTATAGCCGAGCAGCTATACTTATTTTTTTACTTTTTTTAATAAATAGTATAGCCGTTCGGCTATACTCTTTAAACATATTTTCCTAATTTTTAAAAATAAATAGTATATCCGCACAGCTATACTATTAAATATAATATATTTCAAGAGGATAGCCGCGCGACTGTCCTGATTAAATATATTATACATAAAAAAAGTATAGCGACGCGGCTACATTGGGGACCTTTTTTTATTTATTTTATATTATAAATAAATAGTATAGCCGTGCGGCTATACTGTTAGATATATAATATATTTAAGGGTTAATCGTTTTATTAGTCCCCCAACTTGGACCGGATTTGCATTTGAGTACCTCAATTTTTAAAATGGTACATGTGGTCCTTTAACTTTAGTTTCGTTTGGAAAACTAGTCCCACCGTTACTTCTGTCAATTTTTTCGTTAAATTTAAGGGTAGATGGGTCTTTTCAGGTTGGTTTTAAGGGACAAAAAACACTTTTACTCTTTTAGATTTGGGTTAATCGTTTCATTAGTCCCCCAACTTGGACCAAATTTGCATTTGAGTACCTTAATTTCCAAAATGGTACTTGTGGTCCTTTAACTTTAGTTTCGTTTAGACAACTAGTCCCACCGTTACTTCAGTCAATTTTTTCATTAAATTTAAGGGTAGATGGGTCTTTTCAGGTTGGTTTTAAGAGACAAAAAAGACTTTTACTCTTTTAGATTTTATGAGAAAACCAGGAAAACCCTTGGGCGAAGACGCCCACTTCATCTGCCATGATGCCTAGACCATCGGAGTGGCGGACGGCGTTGATAGCTAGGCTAGGAAAGGCGTCAACGCCCGTGAGTACGCGAGTGGACTCATGAACCACACCAAGAAACACAGTCACGAATATAGCCCGATCATCCGCCATCGTCGTGGATCCAAGAAAAGTGTTGAAGGAAGTCTTGGGGTGGTTCTGGTGGAGCCAGAGTACGGCCGTGTTGAAATTTGTGTCACAAAAACGGATAGTGTCGACGCTGAAGATGAGCTTGAGGGTGGTAAGGAGATTGTGGGACCAAGCCAAGGGAAGAAGTTGCTTCAAATATTTAAGACAGGGTGGATTAGTAGACCTCCAAGGTCTATTTCAGAGGGAAGGCAAGTTGCAGAAGGAGGGTAATAAAACCAACTGAAAAGACCCATCTACCCTTAAATTTAACAAAAAAAATTGGCAGAAGTAACAGTGGGACTAGTTGTCCAAACGAAACTAAAGTTAAAGGACCACAGGTACCATTTTGGAAATTGAGGTATTCAAATGCAAATTCGGTCCAAGTTGGGGTACTAATAAAACGATTAACCCAAGGAGGATAATAAAACCAACTAAAAAGACTCATCTACCCTTAAATTTAACGAAAAAATTGACAGAAGTAACGGTGGGACTAGTTGTCCAAACGAAACTAAAGTTAAAGGACCACAGGTACCATTTTGAAAATTAAGGTACTCAAATACAAATCCGGTCCAAGTTAAAGGACCACAAGTACCATTTTAATAACTAGTATAGCCGTACGGCTATACTGTTAAATATAATATATTATAGTCCCCGCTCTCAGAATTTCATGCGTTTCCTATTAGGGCACAACGACATGTTTTTCGATTATTTTTGGTAGAATAATCTCGACCTTTCATAAGGATTTTTGACACAGATCCCACGGCTTAAATTGCACCTCCCATGAAACTTGATTTCAGCCATCCATTTCTTCGAATTTTCTCTGTAAACTAATCCCCGCCCTCGATTTTCTTAACTCACCCCTCCTATTTTCCTTACATTTTTTCCTGGGCAGCGTTGAGAGCCAGAGCTTCTCTTTCTTTTTTCTCTTTTTTGAGTACAAGCGGTAGTTTAAATAAGGGGGATTTCTCTTTCTCACACACAACTATAATGCCGTGGGAATTCAAACATGAAATCTCGAATATGCAAATTAAGGTCATTTTCCACTGGACAAATTAAGCTTGCCTTGTTGACACCCATGAAGCCAAGCCTTTTGTTTTATGTCCCATTATATTGTGGCTTGGATATTCTAAAATGGCATTCCAAAAATGTATCCAATGATGTGAAAGATACTTTGAATTTTGAGCTCATAAACTCGGCTTGAGAAACAAAGCCCATGGGCTAAGAATTCAGGCAAAGATCATGTAATAATAGTGTTGGGGAAGACTTCTTGGGATTTTTTGACATAGCATGTCCTTGGGGCCCTTGATTGTTGGAGATTGATCAAATGCAAGACCCGATAAAGCTTTTAACTGAAAGGCAACCAAATGACATTGGAATCCAACATCCATCCACATTCAGATGACGATGATATCATCTCATGGAAATGGAAGATGAGAGCTTTGCTGGTGCAGCTGTATTGATCAAGCAGACAATGGAATTCAAAGTATAACATATCTGTAATCGATAACATAAAAGTTGTTCATCCTTATCCAATTTTATCATCTACAGTTACATAAATGACAAGTTATTTGGTGCGGACGAAAAGCTATTGACAGAAATTTCGCCACATGAGACAGTTGCCTGGCTGGCTCCTATTATCGATCATCGTATGGGAATTTCCTGGATGGATCAATGGTCTCATCTGCTAGCTTTGCAAAGGAGCTACCTACCTTATCCCTTTATTATTTATTTATTTGCACTAATATTTTGACAGTGTGACTAAAACGGTGCACTTTTTTCTACACAAATAGTGCTGCTAATTGCTAATTAAATACCCCAAATTCTTTCTTCTTATTTTTTTTGCTTAAAACTAAGTGCTAACAATGATCAAGGACAGCCAAAGATTCCAAAACAAGAAAAAGGATTGAATCTTGTGGGCTTTAAACATTCTTACAAAAAAGAAAAAGACATTGTGGCCTGGGCCATACTCAGTCAATGGTGCTGACAAAGTGATAACAAAGAAACATATCATGGTGAAGACTACGAATGCTCAAGAACCCTTCTCTCTAAGGACAGAAGCATAGAATCTGGTAATGGAGCAGCAAAGTAATAATACAAAGGATACAGCAAATTGAAGTATAAATTTCTAGTAATGATTGAGACTCAGTCTGCCTTTTTCCACACACCATTCTCATCACATGGGATGGAACTGAGTTCAGGACACTCGAATATCTCCAAGTACGTGAGGTCTGGAAACAAGTCTTGCAGTTTTGACCAATCCATCTGCAACTTTTCCAAGAACTTAAAGCGTACATTTGTGGCACCCCATTTGCATTGTTTTCCGTGACACAGATTTGAGAGGCTTCCACCCCGGATATAGAGCTTCTTTAGTTTATTCAAATCCCACTGCATCAGCCAATCAGGCATCTTAGAACCAGGGAAGTAATTGAGGTTAAGTTTCTCCAAAGGAACAGAAACTGGATCCATCAATGGAGATGGTGGTGGTGGTGGTGGTTTTGTTGATTTTACCCGGCTCATAAACTTCTTGGTTGCAATCCTCTTGAGAGTTAAAGGCTTTTTGGGAGTGTCATAAAGTCTTGACCATGATATAGATAAAGATCGGAGCTTTTTGAAATTTGCCAAGGAAATGAGCTCTCTTTTTGCAGCATCAGACGTTTTGTTTATGTCCACATGGATACTCAACTTCCTCAGATGTTCCAAACCTGACAAATCAGCTAGCTTACAGTAGTTGCCTCCAGGCCTTGGCTCACCAATCACAAACCCCTTAAGCACTTGGAGTTGGTAGAGCAAAGCAAGTCCTGTAGGCATGTGGCTGATCAAGTAACACTCATACATATCCAAGTGTGTCAAGTTCTTGAGTGAGCCTATCCCTTGAGGGAGCTGCTCCAAATCAGCACAACCATTGAGGTTCAGGATCCTCAGATTGCTGAGTTTGCAAATTGAAGCAGGAAGCTCTGTAATTCTAGAGACTCCTCGAAGGCTTAAGTACCGAATATGTCTCATATTCTTCAACCCTTTTAAGAACTCACTGTCCTCTACTTGAATCAGATGCTTGGCTGAGCTCTGCCATCTCCCAAGCTGCAACACCTTGACGTATTTCATCTTGGAGAACCATTCAGATCTAAAGTCAAGATTAGGCTCATTCACATTGATTATGCTTTGAACCTTCTCCTGTTCTAATCGGTATGGCAATTCGTGTATAGAAGACCCCTCTTCAGTTTTTACGAGGCATGCCCTCCTAGAACGAGTAAAATCTTCGGTGGGATTTCCATTGCTATCAAAATTGAAGAATCCCGCTCTCTTTGCAAGTATGATCACAGCATCACGAATATAAGGGTCCATATTGCAGCTATCAGCACTTGGTCTGCCCTTTTTGTACACCGGCTTGATGAGGCCTTTTTCTATGAAGTCGTTGAAGAATTGATTTGCAGTATCCTCAGCAGTCTTGCCTGATGTACCTAAAGTGTCTATAAACCCCTCACCAACCCACCAATGCACTAAAACCTTCTTCTTTATGACAGCATTTTCAGGGAACACTGAGAAACAGAGCAAACAGAGCTTAGTTGTGACATCTAGATCATTGTACACCGCCGCAATTTCTAGGAATGTTGAAATCTCTGCCATTATTTTATCGTTGCTCTCAACTTCCAATTCGGCTGGTAAGTAAACTGAGCAATGATAACGGTTGAATTCCCTGCGGATCATGGAATCTTTTGCAAGTTGTAAGCTCTGGGAATTCAAATTGACTGAAGAGAGTTGAGGAGAAGAATGCAGGGACTCCTTTAACATAGAGACAATGCGGTGAGTATTTTTGAGCTTGTCCTGAAGATAACTGGTTTCTTTTGTAAGTTCTTGTGACCCTGTTCTTTGTTTAAAGGCATTATCCAAGGCTTGGAAAGCGAAACCTTTCATAGAATCGTTGACTTGATCTTCCCATTGCCCAAATTTCCCGCAGGCCTTTTTGATGTAGATGAGATCATTCTGAATTTCCTCAAACATCCCTTGCAGATTACAATTATGACAGGAGGAGTCGGAGTCCTCCTCAATGATGGTATCATCGGCATTGTTGGTGGTGCTGCTGCTGCAGCTGCCGCCGCCGCCACTACTGCTGCTGCTGCCGCCGCCGCCGCTGCTGCCTTCAACAGGCTGTTTCAACTCGGACATTTGGTGGAGAAAATCTGGGATGATAACCTCATTGAAAATTTGGAATGGTGTGACCTGCCTAGATTTCAAGTATGATAGAAGATCTAGAGACACATAAGGTGACTCAAAAGATGTGGTCGAAAGGGCTCGTGTGGACATAGTTGTGAAGAAAAGGAATTGCAACGTGAAGAAGGAAGGGATGCCCAAATAATGAAGTGAAAAAAGGATTCTAAAAGTTACTGATCATCTAAAAAGGATGAGTTGTAACTTGTAAAGTAGTCATGTGCCCTCTGTTGAATGATACCCAGCAGACCAGTAAGGACCATTTTTCCAATGGTTTGACTAGTAAACTTTGGCATGCTGCTGCATGGACTTGTCAAAGACTACAGAGTCAAGGTCTCCCATAATATAACCCGTTTAATAACCATTTCAATTTTAATTTTTAGTTTTAATTTTTTGTGCTAGAATATAGACGAAAATGAGAATGAGAATGTGAGTGAGGATGAGATTTAGAGAGGGGATGATGAGAGGGAGAGTAACAAAAGTGAAAACAATTTCAAATAGATTTCAGTTTTTAATTTTTGTTTTCACTTTTGCTACTCATCCCTCTCATCTTCTCCTCTCATCTTCCCTCTCAATCCATTCTCCATTCTCATTCTAACTTCAATTCTCTCTCTTTTTCCATTATACTCTAGCACAAAAATTGAAAACTAAAAACTAAAATTGAAATAGTTATCAAACGGGCCATAAAAGAAAGGTGTAATTTGGTTTGTGGAATTCATTTGGGTGAGCAAATACATCATTTAAATTGAAATTAACAAAAAGTTCATTTGGTTCCAAAGGGACCAAAATATCAAGAAAACAAACTGCAACAAAGTTGTGATTCATTTCAACCATCCCCTTCTAAAGAAATGAAGAGCCAAGCCCAGCTGATTTTCATTTGGTTCCTTTACTTAACTGCCACCATTTTGGTTCCAGCTTGGTTTTCCAGCTCATAGAATTGTGTTCCCAAGCCCAGATGATTCATCAGTAGCCAAGTGAAAGTCAGAAGTTCTCCACCCCTACTTGGTTGCTGAGCATGCACAATTGGTCTACATTTAATGGAAGCATAGGACAATAATTCCACCCACACTCGGCTCATTAGCTTCCATGGGTCTGCCTCGACCTTTTCAAGCTGTTTTACTAGGAAACATGCATCGAACAACACAGATTTGCTTTTACCCTTTACAGCGGCTGATCTGAATTTGGCTTCCACAGCATTAATCTTTTGACAAGCTTCCCGATGATCAGGTATTGAGTGCTTGAAAAAGAACCTCTTGGCCTCTGCACGTGTGTCCTGGAAGACTATATGCCAATTCCCCAAAAATGCGGCCATCATATTATGCTGCATCACCAGAAGATAAAACATATAATCTGAAAGTAGTTTGCAAATTTTTCTTCTTTCGTTTTCAGCGTTGTGCTCCGTTTTCGCAAAGTAGAGTTCCGTTGCTATGTGCCACAGAAGAACACTTTCTGCATATTGATATTCCCCTACACTCCATTTGAGTTCCAGATAGTTAGAAGTCTGCAGGAGAGCCCAGTCACCTCTTTGTGAAGATGCCTCCATGGCAGCTCTTCTGTTGTTTGCTTCCAAAGATTTTATCCTCAGCTGCTTGAACAAAAATTTCTTGACATCTTCAGTGACTGCCTCTGAGGTTGAAAAAAAACAGACTTTTATTTTATCTAGAATTCCTCTAACGCCCAGATTTTCAGCAAAAGTGTACACCCATTCTGGATGCTCATCCAGGCAATTGCTTATCATATTATACTTGGACACCAATCCAGACCACCTTCCTCTTTTCAATATCAATTCACCAATATAAGATCTGTTCCAGATGTTGTTGAAGGCAATGACTGTCCAGTCTGAACAAATGAGCTTCAACACTGACAAGGTGTCCAGGATTATGGCCCCATTAAGCAAAGCATAGGTAAGAGCAATGTCAAACTTATCAAACTTATGTTTTTCAACTAAAGCAAATAACATCAAGGCACCAATGGTTGAACAGAAGGTAATTAAGCGGAGAATGTACCCAACTTTGTGACGAGCCACAACCACCTTGGTATGGAGAACCTCATACATGAAGCTGAGCTCGTACTCTATCAATTGAAAAGCACTAACATGGGTTCTTTTGAGAAAAAAATCTCGACTGCGTTCTCGAACTTTGGAGCTCAGAAGGAAACCAACAATGAGCCCTTTGAAACTTTCAAAGAAGCGATATGCTTCCTGCAGTAACTGCACGTCATCTAGAGATTCTTCAGGAACACCATCAACTGTAAATTTGGGGTTCTTATAATTCCCAATGTGCATTGGCCTTACTGGCAGCTCTACTTGTGTTGGAACTTCGACTGACCTCATTGTAGAGTATATTTCCACAGCCTCTTCATAGTCAGGCCCAGGCTCTGGCTCTGGCAATACAGTCTCTCCAAAATGGTCCAAGCTAGCAAGATACAGAGCACATGTTCTCTCCCCAAACTTGATAGTTCCCACAACAAACACTAGGACTGTTGGGAACCAAAGCTTGTTTTCAAAAAGTGTCATATAGAAGCTGTAAGCAGCTGCGAGGACTTGTAGAATGAGTTGAATCAAATGCCTGAGCCAGAACTCATTGTCCTCTAGAGCAAAAGAAGTAATAGTATCAGGGCCACCAAGATGCACTAAAAGAAATGAAGCCCAGAATGCTAAAAGGTCTTTATTCTTTCCAGAGTCACAACGGTCACCCTGGCTTTTGGTGATTACCCCAATTGCAACAACAGCAACCCAGTCGGAGAGCAAGTATGCCGACCAGATCAACACTACAATCAATTTTCTTCTGCATTTTTGCCTGAGTGGTGCACATAAAAATAAGAAAATTTGAAGTGCAAGGCTCAAGAGAATACAACCCCTCAGATTCCATTCCTCCCATATCTTCGTGACCTCCTTGGGTATAGGTAGCTCCATAGTTTTCACCAAACCCTTTTACCTTGGTTAAGCTAGCAAGCCTGGCCTAGTCTCTGTTCTGCTTCATATGAGCAACCAACTTATGCACTCTCTCTTGATTGCACGACTTTTTCTCTGGATTGACTTAAAAGAGACATTGTACCACAATCATATGGTAATTGCTTTGGCTATTGCTGTGGAAATTTCTATCCTCATTCTCTTTGGGGTGATATACTTCAATTCGTACCAACTTCGAATAGTCAAGTCAAGTACCTTTCTTTAAGATGCACCTACTTCGAAGTTGGGTTTAGCAATATGGATGCAGATATTTCACCTAAAACTTTCATGGTATCCAGCTGCAGAGAAAGCTCGTGTGGCTTTAGTCAATTGTTGTTTTGTTTTTTCTATTAAAAAGTAAACAGACTTGTCTTTCTCTATTGCTTTTATTATAGTAAGTCGTTTTTGCAGGTTTGGAGACATTGAACCATGTAGTGGTGTCATTTCCTTTTAAACAGTCTCATTTTTACAATCATAATTATATTTTCCTTCATGATCTTGATAGGCAATGCATCTAAAACTTTCATGGTATCCGGCTGCAGAGAAAGGATTTCACCTTCTGTGGCGTTAATGGTTTAGTCAATTGTTTTGTAAAAAAAGAAAAAAGAGTTTTGTCTTTCTCTGAGTACTAGTGTCATTTTCTTATAAATAGTTTCTTCTTTACCAGGAAGCAGATGAGACGACTGACTTAAAGCATGATTTGGGACCAGAACTGAGGCCCCTCCTATATTTACAGTCTTCTAATAATTTCGGACCACAGATCAGTCTCAGTCTATACTTTGTTTAAACGAGAGAGCTAAGCTAAAATGAAGTTTGCAACTTATCTTGGCCTAAGAAGAAGTCGCCTAAACAGAAACGACTATACCGGGTCAAATTGCTTCATCTGAAAAAAAGAAAAGAAAAAGAAACATAAGACAACAAGTGTATTTTTTTTTAGGATTCAGTACACATGTCTCATGAGAAAAAAGATTCATATCATAATTAAAGATTAACTTATAACAAGTCGTGTAAAAGAAATGGGAAAAAAAAATTAGAAAAATATGTCTAAACCGTATAGCCGAGCGGCTATACTCTTTAAACCTATTATTTGTTTATTTAATTTAAACTATTAATTTTGTTATTAGTTTATTAGTTTTGACCCGTGTCTCTCTTGTTAAGAATAATTAAATTGAAAAATAAATACACATTTGAGAACACATGGATGCAATTTTCTTTCAATGCATTTAATTTTGCACAATGTGTAAATGGAATGGGATGTTTAGTGTGGCCCAAGAACCTGCCTTGTTGACACCCAAACCTAGCACATCTATCCAGAATTATGCCCTATGCCCATGAATCCAAGCCTTTTGTTTTGTATTGTGGCTTGGATATTCTAAAATGGCATTCCAAGAATGTATCCAATGATGTGAAAGATACTTTGAATTTTGAGCTCATAAACTAGGCTTGAGAAACAAAGCCCATGGGCTAAGAATTCAGGCAAAGATCAAGCGTTGGGGAAGAATTCCTGGGATTTTTTGACATAGCATGTTTCGTTCCTTGGGGCACTAGATTGTTGGAGATTGATCAAATGCAAAACCCGATGAAGCTTTTAACTGAAAGGCAACCAAATGACATTGGAATCCTACATCCATCCACATTCAGATGATGATATCATGTCATGGAAATGGAAGATTTGAGCTTTGCTGGTGCAGCTGAGAACTAAGGTCCATATTGATCAAGCAGACAATGGAAATCAAAATATAACATAAAAGTTGTTCATCCTTATCCAATTTTATCATCTACAGTTACATAAATGACAAGTTTATTAGATGATCTACGTGGGCAACTGTGGTTAACATTAGCCTTTGATCTTTAAGAAATCTACCACCCTACAAACTGCTCTCAGCAAGTCTCAATTGCCACTGTATTTGTCTGGTAGCCTGAGCTTAAAGCATTGGTTCGCCCTCTGGCTTATTTGAGGTTCCACATGGGCTTTGGACTCGTCGGTCTTTTTTTTAAAAAAAACAAAAGAGTTGGGCTCTTGGGCAATTTGGAGGAATTTACATATGGCGGCCACTGAAGAAATGGACGGTGTAACTGTTGAGTAACGACTTTGGACCAAGAATAGTAAAACCGTTTTCTTATCCTCGTACGTTACTATATCCTTTCCCCCCTGCGCAAGCTGCTACCACACTCTCGTTTCGTCTCATCTGTTGACTTTTCCCTCTGACCACCACCGCCCAAATAAAGTCTAGCTATAATTTTATTATTTATTTTCCTTTTTGTTATTTGGTTCGGACGAAAAGCTATTGACAGAAATTTCGCCACATGAGACAGTTGCCTGGCTGGCTCCTATTATCGATCATCGTATGGGAATTTCCTGGATGGATCAATGTTCTCATCTGCTAGCTTTGCAAAGGAGCTATCTATCTACCTAGCTCCTTATCCCTTTATTATTTATTTATTTACAATTTGATTTTGACAGTGTGACTAAAACGGTGCACTTTTTCAACACAAATAGTGCTGCTAATTGCTAATTAAAACACCCCAAAACTCTATCCTTTCGTTCACACTCCTCATCTGCGTCAATCCTCTTAACTGGGAGGGGTCCACCCCTTACCCACACCCCCACACATATATATGGTTGGGGAGTTGATCAAGTTTAGGTGGAAAATAAATTAATGCAAAGTAGTTTTACGTACGTGTCACAGGAAGTTGGGCATTTGGTGAAATCGCAGATATTGGAAAATTCGTGTGTCCCGTCTCCCACCACAAAACAAAAAAAAAAAAAAAAAAAAAAAAAAAACTGTAAGATTTGGACCAGAAGAAGTTCACCTGAAATTATAGCAGCAACCAATAGACTCATCTTTGGTTTTTCTAGCCATGCATGCATTGCTAATTAATTCTCAATTAAATAAGTAATTGACTACCCATTGCTAATTAATTCTCAATTAAATAAGTAATTGACTACCCACCCCCCACGTCTTTCAACGGACAATAAATTGCCATTTGCATATAAATGTTGGTCCCATTTGTTTCCATTATCCGTTTCGTTTTTTCATGGGTGGTCGGTTGTCTCTAGAAAAGCAGCTTACCCAACCATGCAAGCCTCCCCATGTAATCTTTTTAGCTGACAGTCAACAGCTTACTTTCATATAGCTTCAATTGTGGGACTCGTAAAATAAGTTTATTTTAGATACATTCTTATTTGTTTTTTAATTTATTGGTATTTTAATGAGTTTCATCGTCTATTTTTTAGGGTTTTGATCCAGAATGAAAGATCTCTCACTAAAATATATCCTCTTTAAGTAATTTGTCTCAATATATATCCCAAAACATGATCCTCAAAATTAAAGTGAGGTGGTCATCTTATTATATGTTAGAGTACTATTGCTTTTTATTAAAAGCTCTAGGTGATCTTTCATCATCGGTCATACAACATGACCGTATATATATATATATATATATATATATATATGTTTATTTGAGTTGACAAGCACCATCTTGCTGTCCTTATTTCTTTCGCTGATAATTTTATGCTAACTACATATACCTATTTTCTCATCTAATCTAAACGAATTATGTATTAATATATATAATGCTACTTAGTATACTTTTATCCTCAAATAAGGTTATTTGAGGATATCAGTCGATTACGAATTTTACTTCAACTATTTGAAACATTTATTTGTTTTTCAATTTTAAATATTCAGATCATTGAAATTCAATGCAACGTAAACCTTAAACGAAAGATGTATTTCAAATAAGACTATTTTATATGTCTCAAAACTTTATGCAAGTATATAGCATGCATGCATGCAACAAATATTGTCGCAATATAATCCCCATGCATGGACTATAGTAGTATAGGTAGTCAAATCTTTCGTACGTATTGATGATACTGCCCAAACGTCTTGCTCTGAAAAGACCTAGACTGAGAAAACCTTTTTTATTTTCTGGCTGCAAATAATTAATTTACATACGTGTGTGGTCGAAATTGTATACTCAGAAGCTAATGAGTATTGTTTTGCTGGATGTGAGGAGAACGTACATGTGTTGCCGTAACACATAATTAAGTATGCAATGATATCTCAGCATGTGTGACAGACTAAGATGGTTTTGTAGCATTCGATCGACTAAAAACAGTACAAGATTAAGTTTAGTCAACAATATAATTATTATATTTAACAATATAATATCTTGCTAATGTCATCAAATAATATCTTGCTCATGCATAATAATTATTTACGAAGCTTCAAGACGAAGAAAATCTGGCCTCCTTCCACTATATTTTAATTATCTTTTGTAAAATGAAAATAACGGAAGTAATTAAGCATTTTCCTAACCCAGCTGTACCTGAAAGATCGATATAATGCGTGGTGGTAGTCGTGGTCGTGGTCGTGGTCGGTTTATAGGTGCCTTAGCAGTGTTGCAAGACACGTGTCACTTGTTAGCCAGCTTAGGGTGATTTCCAGGATGTTTCCACACTGTCCTTGAGTAACGGTCTTAAGACCGTTCTTCAGCCCATTTAAATATTCAAATTAGTGCTTTCTATTTTAGATTTAGTTCTAAACTTTTCTGTCACCTAAAGGCTAAAGCCGAACCTCTTTACCTTGATCTCAAAAAAGGGTTGTGACCCCCCCTTTACAAAAAAGAGTTTATGAAAGAGTATTGTAATGATTTTAATTCCTACTTTTTTGTAAGAATAATTTAAATTTGTGACTTCCTCACGTTTATTAAACATACATAATAAAAAATTGAGTTTAACATTAAAATAAGTAATTAAATATCTTCAAAATTAATAATGCAATCAACTAAGAAGAGCAGTTCATCAAATTCTAATTCATGAATTTCCCCATCTGAATTTCCTTCAAAAAAAAAAAAAAAAAAAAAAAAAAAAAACGGAAAGATTTTATTCATGTTTGAACTACGATTTCTAACCGCTAATTAAATATGAATATCATGTTTATCAAGAGGCCAAATTTAGGAGCATAACTCTTCTTGAGATAGAAATTAGACTGTTTCACTGTCACTTATCAAAAGTTGCCAACTCGACAAATTATCATGATGCCATGCCCACGAATCACGATTGACGAAGAAAAAATGTCACTCGCATTAAGAGGAGACTCTACTATATCTGATACGTGGGCCCCTCTACGTGGATATTCCTCCGACACTCCACAAGTAGGCCCGCCCCGAACATCTAAGCCGTTCGTTCCTCCTCCGAAAGATCCAACGGTTCAAGTCCCTTTAGAAAAACGCGTCCGTTACTCTCCCTCTCTCCCTCTATATATGTATATCTCCATGCATCATCACTCAATCCACCACGACTACCAATTACTTCTCGCTACAAACACAACATTTTTCTCAGACTTAATCCCTCACCATAATTAAGTACATAATTAAGACTTGATTATAATTATAAATCAAAATGGCGTGGATTGCTTCTTTGAAGATTGTGCTAATTTCGAGCGGCGTGGTGGCTTTGGCGTGGGCTATGAAGCTCTCCGTTCCACTGGTGATGGAATTCGTAGCCTCTCACTTGCCGCTCGTGTGCGCCTCCTTCCGATCCTTGCTCAGGCCTCCATATATCTACGTTCTCATCAACGGCATCATCATCACCATCGTCGCTTCCTCGAGGTTCCACCACGACCGCTCGCCTCAGCCTAAGCCTCAACCGGAAGAGTCTGAATCGACCGTCTTGGAGTTGGAGACGCCGCCGGTTTACGAGCAGCGGAGATATCTAGGGCCTCTAGTTCATGAGGAGGTGCACGAGGAGAGGCCTGCGGTGATCAATGACTCTGTAGAAGCAGAGCCTGAGCCGGAGGTTGAAGATGTTCGTGTAGACGAAGACGAGGTTGTGATCTCGAGCTCCACGTGGACGCCGCCGAAGAGTGTGATGAAATCCAACGAGATTGTTTCGCCGGAGGTTGAAGATGTTCGTGTAGACGAAGACGAGGTTGTGATCTCGAGCTCCACGTGGACGCCGCCGAAGAGTGTGATGAAATCCGACCAGATTGCTTCGCCGGTGGAGAAACCTCTGGTTTCTGTGAGATTCAGCCACCGGAAACCGGCTAGATCCAGTCCTGAAGGTATTTAATTCTCAATTTCGTGGTCGTAATTTTCTGTTTAATTAATATAATCGTAATTACCGTCTAGGTTTAGAGCTTCGTTTGCCGGTAGTGAAGTAACGGTGTTGAAGTTTGAAAACAAAGTAGAGTTCCAATGTGGCGTGCGTATATATCTATTTCGTACACGGTGCAATTGAATTGTCTATGACACCCTTTTAAATGAAGGGTTGAAAAGTAAAAAATGCTCTGTCTCATAAGGGTACAGTGGTCATTTAGCGATTTATTAACCGGGAAACATTTTGACAGGTGGGAAGCCGTTGAGAGTAGCGAAGCCAAAACGGCACGACACATTGGAGAACACGTGGAAAGCGATAACGGAAGGGCGTTCGATGCCGTTGAGCAGGCACATGAAGAAGAGCGAGACGTGGGAGAATCATGGCCGTCAAGTTCAACTCAAGGTTGACTCAGCAATGGACACGTCAGCGGTGCTGAACTCAGAGACGTTCAAGGACTGGACGAATCAGCAGCAAGTGACAGCATCGGCTGGGGGCGTAGGGAAGCTGAGGAAAGAGCCGTCGCTGAGCCAGGACGAGTTGAACCGCCGAGTTGAAGCGTTCATAAACAAGTTCAATGAGGAAATGAGGTTGCAGAGACAAGAGTCGTTGAATCAATACATGGAGACGGTCAAGCGTGGAAGCCATTAATCACATATATGGTCAAAGTTTATTTTTTTGATTTTTCTCCTAATTTAGTCAAAAGAGATTTTTAAAATTAGATTGAAATTAATTTTAATCAAAAAGAAAAGAAAAAGATGGGAGTTACAAATTCACAATTATTGTTTTTTTGGGGTTGTTTCTGTTTTTCAAAGTTCCATTCGATTCAGAATTCATGTAACAAAGTTATATAGTCATAGAAAAGGAAGGAAATATATATATATATATATATGTATAAGTCAGTCAGTCTCTGTCTGTAAAGAAAGAAACCTTTTTTCTTTTCTTCTCTTTTTGGTTGTATATATCTTCGTCTTGATTGTGTATTGTAAAGAAAGAAACTTTAATCTATTTAAGTAATTTTGTTGTTGTGTTGTAACTTGTATATATCTTCGTCTTGATTGTGTTTTTTAGTTGTCAAATTCTTTTTCTCTTACTTTAGTCTTTGGGCAAAACCATAATTTTGAATTGGTTTAGTGAATAAAAAACTTTAAATTAGTGAGGTAAGAAACTCCGATCCGAGACTTCTGGAAACTCACTAGTCCATAATTATGATTAGTCAAAATAGTTAAGAGACTGAGTGACCTAACCATGGCTTTCCATCTGTCTAAATTATATGGACCCTACCCTATAGTTTTGTGTGAAGCTCATTAATTTATAACTGATTTGCTTGGTTGGTTCTTATCCAAACCAACTATGAATGACGCATTATTTTTCTTGTTGAGAACTTGAGAATGAGACGAGTTATTTACCTTAGGCTTAATTACATCAATGCCTTTAAAATTTCGGTCAAATCTCACTGTATCCCTCCTAAACTCAAGATGATACACTTTCATCTATTGACCAAGGTTTGGTAACTCACTTTACCCTTCGTTGTCAACTTCATTCAAAAGTTTGTTAACTTTGATGACGTGACATGAATGTTTTTGTAATTTCATACACATAGATTATTATCCGCCAATTGAGTGGGTGACGTGGCAAGTGGAATCCACCTCCATATAGATAAAAACATAATTAAATATGCTAATAATTAAAAATTAAATAAAAACTTAAAAACTACATTTAAAAAAGAATAAAATGCCGAAAACCTAACAGTCACCACTATCACACCCAAACAAGACACAACCACAACCACCCCTCCGGAAGCTACTTCTTCAAGAAGTTTTTTTTTCCGTCAATCTTCAAGAAGTTAACGGGATAAAAAATATATATATAACAATTGAAAGCTCATCATTGGAAACTTTTTAGTTTTGTGGGTGACAATTGGACTAACCATTAAAGCATTCTAATTTTCCCATTTTTAGATGAAGTTGACAGCAAGGGGTAAAGTGAGTCACCAAATCTCGATCAAAGGATGAAAGTGGGTTATTTTGAGTCTGGGGAAGCAAAGTGAAATTTGACCAAAGTTTCAAGGGACATTGGTATAATTAAGCATTTATCTTAGTGGAAAGAGTTAATTTCAATTTAGTATCCTGAATTCTTACATTTAAGAGCATCTCCACCCCAAAAAGCTAAGGCTAAGGCAATGGTTGCCACTATTCACGTAAATAGTGGCAGCCTTGCCATTTGTGGTTCCACCCCAAAAGGTTAAGGCTAAGGCAATTACTATTCACTTAAATTTATTTTTTTATGCTTAAACCATTGATTTTGATAAGCTTTTTTGATAAGATTTTCGATTTCCAAGTGTTAATATTTATCGTAAAATTCTCACCTAAAAATCAAGATAACATTTTCGGATAAAATTTTGAAATTAAATTTGGTGTGGAAAGTGAATAATATTGGTAGGTATGTATAGAAAAAATTTCCAGAATTTCTTGATATTTTTTAAAACAATTTTTTATAACTGTTGGATTGTGCAAGATTTTTTGATCGGAGGCTCCAAGAGAAGCCACGTGGCTTGTAACCATTGGGCAATGTGGGTCCAACAGTAAAAAAATATTTGAAAATCAGCTGCTAACGTCAGCAGCCCACAGGCAACACACTAGTCAATTTCTACTTGTAGGCTTGCCCGGGCTGGTGGGTCCCATGCCTTGCTCGAACTAGATTTCCTGCGCTGGAGTATGAAACTAGGCTTGGGGGGGCCTGTTGCCAGGGCAAAGCCCTAGTGCTGGAGATGCTCTAAGGCACATTTGCCCTTGCATTCTCAATTTTAAAGATTACATACCCTAAACTTTTCAATTTTTGTGCAATATGGTTCCATCGTTAACTTCATCGTCAAAATTTTCGTTAATTGCTTGTGTGACAAGTCTGGATCCCACCTATTCACTTATTTCAATGTCAGTTGAAGGGAGTTAAAAAACAATTTGGTATTAATGCGTGTAATGTGTTCTTTATGGATGAGAAGACACCAATTACTCGAAAATACTCTTCAACTGACATCGAAATATGTGAATAGGTGAGACCCATGCTTGCCATGCAAGCAATTAACGGAAATTTTGATGTCAAAGTTGACGCCGGAATCAAATTACAAATAATTGAAAAACTTAAGATATGTAATCAATAAAATTGAGAGCGCAGGAGCAAACATGCCTTAAGGGTAGGAGTTCAGGGTACTAATCGAAATTAACCCGAATGTAAATGTAGTAACTTCATTCCGTTGAACCTCTTTCAAAATCTGCAAACAAGATGAAGCCCCTTTCAGACTCCGCTACCCAGTAGTAACATTTTGAGTGTGAACAGAAAACTACATCTACTTTCTTGCATAAGATATACAGGTCCAAGATACAAACCAGAATACAGGGGGCTCAACAGTTAGTCGACATATGCATCAAAATGTTCTTAAATCAGCCGCCTCGTTTTAGCCTTTTTATTCTCTCAAGGGCGCCAAGGTGGCTGTCACCGTCCTTGGTCACAGCAGCACCATCTCCGCCCTCATCTTTTTCAGCCTCCTTTCTCTTGTTAGCCAACTCTCCAAAAACAGCAGATGGGACCTCCTTTTGTGCAATTTCAACCCCTTCATCATCTTCTGAATCACTTGCATCGGGCAGCTCAATGTCTTCATGATTTGCAGCAACTTTGATCCCTCCGTCCGTCTGTGATTCTACTCCAGCACTCACAAAGCCCACTTTTCTGTTACCATCTTTGGTGGTAGTACCGTTAACCACTGGTGCCAACTGCCTTTCTAAAGCAGCCATTTCATCTTCAGGAACTCCAGCCTGTTTCAACTTGTCTTTTGCCTCGTCCATGTTCAACCTCTGATCCTTTTGCATCATATACTCGGGTAGAATAAAATGTGTCTATAAAAAAAACAAAACAGAAAAAGAGAGAGATTTGAAATGAGCAATTGAGGAATTCTTTTTCTAAGACCTCAAAAGAACCTCTACCTAGGTTGCTGACAAAATTAAGATAAAAACAAACCTGGCTATAGCTTGCAGAAACACTTCGCTTAATTCGAAGCATCTCTCGGAAGGTATCTTCATTTCCATGTTGCACCTCAAACTCATGCCATTTGTTCCAGAAATCTACATCAGATCGTGGATCCGAAAACTGTGATGCAAATATATATACTCCCCGAGCACGATCAATTTCTCCTAAGCTCTTCTCAAGCTCAGCATACTTCAAGCACATTGTCTTCACATCTTTGTCTGGAAGACCGGATTCTATTGCTTGCTCATATATCTCCCTTGTTTTGGGGATGCCAAATATCTCTGCAGCACGGGCAATGTAGATTTCATACATGCTCAATTTCTCATGGTTTGGAACAGCCTTAGTTGCTTCATCATAGACCTTCATAGCACGCTTTGCTAGACCATAATCCTCCTCCAGCTTTGCAAATTGAAGATACAGAGGTTTCTTTGCATCAGCAGGCGCCTGAAATACCATTTTCAGGTTAGTAACACAATAAAATAATGATGTACAAAGGCAACATTCTAGCATGTTGAACTGAAACCTAAAAAAGATTTCCAAGTTGTGAAGAGCGCGCGGACACACACACACACACAAACAAATACACATCAGTCAGTAGAGTGATTGGCATCTGCAAACCAGAAGGAGAATCTGGACATGCAAAAAAATACAGGATCTAGCAAGTCAGGCTAAAGGTAGGTTAACATGTTGATTAAAATTAAGTAATTTCCTATGAGCTCCAGATGTCCTCAAGTTTCAACATTTATTTTGGTATGTTATGAACCTAAGACCTACCACGTTTTCTCACAATTGAATTCATGGAAATAAAAGAGAGGAAGGTCCTTGCACACTTCAAAACAAGCTTGGCTTATAATAATCAGGGTATCCTCCCATTCATCCCAAGACAGAGTAATAGAGTATTTACAATCGTAGTGTGAAGACAACAAGATAATTATTGGACACAACAAACACAGTGATGCAAGTAAACAGCGTTGCAGGCCCCATTGATTGTCAATGAAACGTAGACCACAAGCAGACATACAAAAACCAATTGCAATTAGACCTCAATATCTAGTCAAGTTCACTTTAAACAATGGATAGTAGGATGCAAGAATGATATGACAAGACAGAATCCCAATAATCAACTTGCTAATAAGATAAAAGTATATTCATTAACCAAACCAAGGTGAAAACTAGTCATGTTCAGCTCAGATAAACTGTGTAATCCTCTACTAATTGTCAAAAAATAAAGAATCCAGTGCTTTAGAAATACCAGAGTAACTTATATTACCAGAATAAAGTCTAAAAGGACTGACAATGTTCTTACCGATTGAACAGCATCCTCAAATAGCTGTCTTGCACGTTCCAGTTCTTTCTTCCCATATCTCTTTACAAATTTAGAGAGATATGTAACCCATATGTCTTTGACATGTGGGTACTTAAATATTTTGGTACCTTTTTCATACACCTTGAACGCATCTTCAAAGTATTTATGCTCCTGCACAGTCAAATTGTCATCGTATGATAAATTGTCATCATAAGATATTTATAAGTAAAAATTCAAGAAAAGAGCAATGAAAGGAATGCCATACCTCCAGAAGCAATGCATAATTGATTATGATTTGTGGCGTGGCTATCTTCAAATCCAGTATCCTCTCATAAACAGCCCGGGTGGACTCCAATTTACCCAGGCTCTCCTCTAAATCCACGTAAAAAGTCCAAATTCTTAAGGACTTATGCAACTTCATCTGAACCGGTTGGTTCCCATCAGCCGCCACTGCAAAAGCATAAGCCAAAGGTTAGAAGTTTAGTTATAGCTCCACAAATGCCACATAAGTTATAGTTCAACATTCAAAACAAAGAAGTGAGAAATAAAATGAGGTGTCTAAACCAAAAATAGAAAAATAATGGGAAATGAAAAATAATAATAATAACATAAGCACAGAGTAAAATTTCTTTTGAGCATTTCTAGAACTGAAATTTAGCAATATCAAAATTATAACTACAATGATGAAGGCACTTGGAAGTCCATGACAATTGTAGATCTCGAATACATTATTTGGAATAATTATTAGAGATAAGACCAAACAAATCAAAGCAAACACCTTTAAATTTAAACACCTTTAAATTTATAAGAAAATATATGGCTTCAAAGTATAAAAACAATAGCATAACAATTATCTGCAGGATTCTAGGTTGAAGATATATCAGGAAGTGTTTCTATGTTTGAGATAACAGAACAATTAAAATACCGAATTACTAAAGCTTCTTCCTTTTTTTAAAAAAAAATTCCAACTCACACACTCTAATAAAATGTAGTAACATACTCGAAAGTAGCAGACCAGGACATAAAAAAAAACACACAGAAAACCAATTAAAGATGATACCTCTGCGTTTCACCTCAACGGATGGCTCTGCGGTGGCCCGCCTCATTAGTTCCAGTGCTCCTTTGAAATTCTTATGCCTCAATTCCATTTCTGACCACTCACACCAAAGACTAGCCAAATTATCCACTGTCTTGTAGTTCACCTGAACTGCTTTATCAAAAATCACTCTTGCATTTGCAATATCTTTGTGATTCTCGTACAACTTAGCAAACGCAACCCACAATGTATGGGGCTTCCCCACCGCTTTCATTGGATCAACTGTCCTCACCGCCTCTGTGTAAGTAAGTATCTGCTTCGTGGGATTGCCCTCAAAGAGCTTCACTCTTCGGTGCCACTGCTCTACATTATGGGGATTTTGTCGTAAAAGAACACTATTAGCCAGTATAGGTCTTCTATCCATAAGATGCTCCAATCGAGCCAACCTCAAATCTACATCCTTATCATCATGTAACCAAAACCCATTAAGCATTTTCTTCTCAAACTCAGCCAAAGACAAGTTAACATCCAATCGAAGATCTTCTTCTTCCTCATTTCCATCCTCTTCTACTCCCTTTTCTTCTTCCTCCTCTTCATCACTCAAATCCACTGTCTCCATCTTATGGACAAGCATACTATCTTCAAACCCAGCATAAGAATCAAAAATTACACTAAAATCTCTTACCGTTACCACAGTAGTCATACCCTCCTCAAATATATCCCTAGCTTTCTCGTGCAAATTCCTCCTAATGTAATAGTCCGCCAGTGAGGTCCATAACCGTCCCACCTCATCTGTAAATTTCCTAATCCCACCTCTAATAATAGCATCTACATTGAGGCCTGACACCTCCGTAGCATGCTTAGTAAGCAAATCACACAATTCCAGCCACAGCCTATGTTTCGTTTTCCCCTTTATCGAATAAAACTGATCATCATTCAAAACTGAAGCCAGCCTCTCGGCGGCCTCTTGCCAAAGACTAGAATTTATCAAGAACTCAATGAAATCTTCAATATGGGTAGGGTCATATTTCAAATACCTGCGATAAACCCGAAGCGAGGTCTCAATTGGGATACCGGTTTGGCTCACGAACTTCAGGTACGGGTCCCAAATGCGGTCGTGCTGCGTCACCGGAAGAGCACACAGAGCTCTGTCGAAGGTCCGGCGAGTCCGAGTGACCAACTTCTGCTCCGTCAAAGTTTGCAAGTACATAGTCCAAATTTTAGGCATTTTGTGCATAGTAACCAGGGCTCTTTCAAAAGTGTTGTTGAGGGTTTCATACTGGAAGTGAGTGATGGGTAAATTGCGAACAAGCTCGAGGCGTTCACGAAGGTAAGCGTTCCAAAGCTTGTAGCTCCCAGGAAGGGCCTTGAGTGCTCGCTCGTAGATTATAAAACGCTTCTTGAATGGAGATTCGGATCGAGCGATGAGGTAACGCCACCATAGCTTGAGGCTAAAGGGGTTTCGGAGAAGCTCTTCTTCGTAAAGAAGGTCGTCTTGGGATGGGTATAATTCCTGAGAGATCGACATGGCCGAAGTTGCAGACATAAGAGTTGCTAATCCCTGGGAAAAGCTTGGGTATACAATAATCGGGAATTTTGGGTTTGAAAAAACCCTAAATATGAGGGTGGATAGGGGGGAACACAAGCTTCGATCTACTGTTAACCGGAATTGGAATATGTTACGAAAGATAAATTATTATTATTTTTTTGTTGGAGCGAAAGATAACTAATTAAGAAAATACTTGTGTACTTTTCTTCTCACTCGTTGGAATTTTTATTTTTTATACAGATATTTTATTTGTCTATGTAGAATTAGGATTACATGGATCGTCGCGAAAAAAAAATCCTTACTTGACATGGAATACAACACTATGAATGTCATTTCCTCCGTTTATTAGGGTTTTCAGGGAACTTTAGTCGGGTATAAAGTATAAAAATCGAGTAATGAGACAAATATGATGAATTTTTCATGTATAGATCCCCTACCTAAACCCTCCTTGTTCAATCTATTTTAATAGTTGGTATCATGATTCTTCATTTAGATTTATACTATTAATGTTGTAGTTTTGGTAGGCACTAATTTGGCTAACAAGTTCATATTTTGTATTAGATTGATCTATATATTAGGCTCAGAATACTTCTTTCAAGTTCTAAAAAATTTGATATTGTTATGGGGCAAGTCGGAAAACCTAATCCAATGAAAGTGGATACGAGAATCCACAATTTGAATACTGCAAAGATAAAAGTAGGCATAGCGAGAAAATACTTGATGAGGATGGGAATAAAAATGGCATACTCGCTCCAATTTGCGTCGTTATCATCCCTAAATGTAACCATTTTGACCCCCAAAAAAAATGCGACTCTAAGTGTTACTGTTCTAGGCTAGAAGCCCATTAAGATTAGGCCCATTAGCAAGCCAACCAAAACAAAACCATATTCTATGTTCTAGATGGGCCTATGGAGGTCCATGATGATAATGTTCAGAAAGTGACGTAAACGACGCGGTCTGGGAAACAGAGAAAAGAAAGAAGGCCTTGTCGCTTTCCAACTGCTACACGGAGATGCCGTAAGCAGCAGCAATCATATACGCTAACGCACACGCAACCTCCATCTCTCTCTCTTCTCTCTCTTCTCTGTGTCATAATATCAGACGTTCTCCCTCTTCTTCTCCGAGAGACAGATATACAACGCTCTGTGGCGCGACCCCTCTCTCGAGTTTTTTCCTTTTTTCTTTTTCTTTTTGTAATTTCAGAAACCCACCTCAGGAGCAGCCCCAACCTCTCCTTTTCTCTATCCGAGTTTCTCTTTGGTAATCTCTCAGCTCTCGGATTTATGTTACATTTCTGAGCTCGTTTCACTTTGGGTGCTGATTTATGCTGGCGGTTTTGTTTGGATGTTGTAATTCCTTCTTTTTTCTTTTTAATCTGCGGGCATGGCCTCTTGAGATGAGAAGGCCATGGCGTCTATGTTTTCGCAGTTGAGATTTGGGGCCATGGCTTTCATGTTTACATAGTGAGACTAATTTGCTTTTCGGTGTGTGTTTCTCTTGCCAATTTATGATACTATTTGGTTTGGTGTACTGTATGCCATAGATGTGTTTTTTCCTTTTGTCAATTTTCTGTGAAGACTTAAACATTCATGTATATTTAGGTTCCAGGTGAACTAAGGTCTCTCTTAGATTTCAGAGTTTTTATTGAGCATAATGGAGTCCAAGTCATTATACCTATGTTTGTGGTGCTCAAGGTGAAATATTTATATGTAGGGTGAGATTTTGAAAATCAGGGTAGCTTTCTTGGTGTGTGTTTTAGGTTGTGATCTGGAACTTTTCGCTGTTTAGCTAGTTCCATTATTCCAGTATGCTTCTTACTTGCTAGGATTATACATTTTGCTTTGGTTTTCCCATGACTTGGATAAAATTAGAGACCTATGTTTGACATCTTTGTTCTCTGGCCAAAAGGAAAAGAATATAAATCATCATTTTTCTTAAATAAAGAAGTCAATCCATATCTAAGCTGAATTTTGCAACACACTTTATTGACTGGAGTTTTCTGTTTTGTAGGCTAGTTAACTGTAATTCTGACCATCAAAGACAACTGTAATTTATGGTATGTTATGAATCTTTGTATTGAATTTTGTTCTGTTAAATTATGTTGATTTTCTGAGATGCTATGATCTTTTCTCTTTCTGGTTGTTGCGTGAGGGATAAATTCTCATACTTTTTTTTTTCTTTGTATGCAATTCTGTCTTCAGTGAATAAGGTTCTCTCTCCTTTGCGCGTGTCCCGTTCTCTTCTCCAATCCTCCACATACACAAATCTACCTGAGATTCTTCTTTTCTAACCCAAAGAAGTATATCCATACACATTAGTAAAATGGAGGTCAAGCTGGCGAATGACAAGCGTGAAAGAGAAATGTATGATAGTTTTGCTGAACTTTACGCCATTATAAAGACCACCGAGAAGCTTGAAAAGGCATACATTCGTGATGTGATCTCTTCATCAGCGTATGAGACTGAATGCCAAAAGCTCATTGCCCACTTTAAGACTTTGGCTTCCACGCTTAAAGACACCATCCCAAGCATCGAGCGCTTTGCAGAAACATACAAGATGGACTGCCCAGCAGCTATAAACCGCCTTGTGACCTCAGGGGTGCCTGCCACAGTGGAGCATCGGGCTGCTGCAGCTGCCTCCATGACTTCCTCAGCTTCTGCTGTGGCAGAATGCACACAGAATTTCATCACTGCAATGGACTCATTGAAGCTGAACATGGTTGCGGTTGATCAGGTGCACCCGCTGCTCTCGGACCTCTTAACGTCTCTGGGTAAGTTGACCTTTCTGCCACCAGACTTTTTGGGGAAGGTGAAGTTGAAGGAGTGGATTGCAAGATTGTCAAAGATGGGAGCGGCCGATGAGTTGACAGAGCAGCAGTCTAGGCAGCTTCACTTTGATCTTGAGTCGTCCTACAACTCATTTATGGCAGCTTTGCCAAACTATGGTACTTGACACAGCTACTTGCAAGAACCTCAGTGATCTCTCAGAAGGGATTTACTAATTTTCTACTGCATATATAATATTTTGGGTATGCCTGAGTTCTGAACTTGGTAATTAGTATTGATATTTTGTGTCAATCATGCCGGATATGATTTTCAAGCTACATTGTAGGAAGTACTTCAATTTGGTTTCTTGATTCTTAATGGTATATGATCTCAGTGGCTTGATTGAAATGAAATGCTCAATATCAGGCCATTTTGTGAAAGCAAATTGTTTGATGGATGAGTGGCTGTCCTCTGTACAAAAATGAATAATTTTTCTACCTCTTTTTTTTTTTAGTTGTGCCATAAGTTAACAACCACAGGCTTCTCGAAATTTGAGTTTGGTTAGGTGCACCAAACTGGGGCCTAATTCTATTAAACTAGCGCTTAGAATCTTAGACAGGTGCACTAATTGTGGCTTTATTTGTGTTGTTTTAATGATGTTAGGAATGTTGGTTGTAATATTACAGGGTCATTCTATAGTGAGGGCCTTAGATGAGGCCCCGTTTCTTAGCCGTTGGATCAAATTGGTTAGTTTGATTCAACGATTAAAGAGATAGGAACTCATCTAAGGGCCTTATAAGGCCCTCACTATGGAATGACCCTGTAATATTAAATAAATATCAGAATATATAGCTCAGCCCAACCGTTTTCTCTTAATAGATTCATCAAACTCAAAAGGGTGCACAACTTTAACATTTGAGAGTCTTGGTCAAATTGTAAGAAACTGGGAAGGGGGGGAGAAATGCAACGTCATTCATAGAATGAGATAAAAATCAATTACAATAATGTCTACAACCCTCGCATAAGAATTTCATGTATCTACCCCATCTGCAAATTTGGTCCCTTTCATGATTGGTGGCCCGAGACGAGAGACTCAAAAGCTTAAAGATGCCCAAATGTGAATGAACGAACCCATTGAACCTCCATATCTAAGCTATATTTTTGTGTCACAAATGGAGTTTGTGAGACATTGAAACATCACCACTCGAGAACCAAAATTTTTTATTTATGTATATTTTTTATATATATCTGAAGTCGTGCAAGATCTAACTATGTCCCTATTGTTAGAATCAGAATAAATGCATGCATTCAGAATTCCAATTAGAACAAAGTAAAAGTCTCCCCCATTTTCATCTTCCTACAACATATGAGGCAAAATTTGAATCAAAATCGGAATTAGGAGGAGAATGACGAGGACTATTCCAAGAATTATAGCAATGCACGTCCACTTCCTTGATTTCTTCTGCTGTTCTTTGGCCTCTTGAAGATTGTCGGTGCCGCGTCTGACAAACGAGCTAGCATGCATGACATGGCTCTCAATGTCATTGAGTTGGTGACCCTGTGCTTCAACCAGAGCAGCCATGTCCAAGAATATCTGATGGAGCTCAATCAAATTCTTCTCAATCTCCTTCACAGCATCATGTCTTTCTTGCATTTCTGATATGGTGTCCAAAATCTGACCTCTCCCCTGTTCTTGAATAGCCTTCTGCAGGAAGCTCTCACTTTCTCCACTCGATATCAAATTTTCGATAGTTTCCTCACTCGCTTTCTCTCCGGTTATAGTAAAATACCTGCGTTCTATTGTTTCTTTATATTCAGATGTCATTCTACCTCTCAATCCCTGAAAGTCATCCATCATGTCCTTGAGTTTCTTCCCCAAACCACTAACCACTGAGGTCCTGGTTCGATCCGCGGAGGAGCCAGGACCACAACCAGGAAGGTTTCTGTGAGTTGCGTTGGAACGCTCCAAACCTTCAAGCTTGCCCTTTATGATTTTGACCTTCTTGAGGACCTGCTCGACATCCAAGTCCATGCGGGTTCGGAGCTCTTTCATGGTTTTAGCATTGTGCACAGTCTTGCTCTCTTCATTGGCTTCTTGTAGCTGCTTGTACAGCTTATCAACCTGTCTCATGTCCTCCTTCACATTCTCGACATCTTCGAAGAACTTGTCAAGATTAATAGTCTCCTTCCCGGCCTCCATATCGTCCAGGTAGGCCTGCTGTTTCAGGTCAGTGTATTTCTTGAACGAGCTCGAAAATAAGTCGTTCATCTTGGCGTGATGATGATATTACGTATCACTCGCTCTTGTTGATCTTCTGCAAAATGGGTTTTCCTTCCTTTTCTTTATGTCTCTGAAAAAATGGAGTGGACAACAAACGAAAAGTGCATTAAAAACCATGCATATAATTAAGCTAAGCTAATCAAGTCTCTCCTTCATGTGTTCAAAGTGTTTGTGTTTTTGATGGGGGTTTGGGGCTTCTGCATCCTCCTCTGCATCACATTGATGAGGAGGAAGACAAAGGAGGTGACAAAAGCAGAAGCTGTCACCAAGATATGGACGAAAGTAGAAGTTTCCTTATTTTCGGTGAGGGTGGATGCATTTGCGGCTTTGGATTAATTGCATATGAGGACCACCCAAATTAAGTTAATTAAACCTATAAGGCCGTTTAAGGATGGGTGTACAGTGGCTCATGGGTTAGTTAACAGGTAGCTTCCTATTTTTTTTCATCTATTATAAAAAGGATATACAGTTTGGTTGACTTGGTCGTACATTTCTCTCCTCCCAATCATATAAGAGACTGCTAGTCTGGTAAAGATATTTGTGGATCATAGTGTAACCCACTTTTCTGAACCTGCCCTAATTATAAATGGATAGCAACAACTAGTTATAATGAACCATTTTGTATTTGCAAACTGATGGTTAATAAGCCCATAAAGATAAAAACCTAAGGATGGAAATAAAATCAGATCCAAAATAAGCCGAAGTTGCCCATCTAGATTTACGAGTAATTATAGTGTAGTAGAGTAATACATAACCGAGATAGATTCACTACCATGTAATTTATGAAGAAACCAAAATAAAATAATTCAGCTTGGACCACTTCAGGGGAAGTTTGATTCAAATATATATATATACACATAAAAATAAACAAAACTAAATGAGGTGAATGCAATTTCTATTTTACTAGGCCGAAAAAGGAGATATTTAGTTACATCCTCAAAGTCATTGCATCAAGGCAGCGAGGTGAGCTTCTAAAATGAAACTAAATAGCTTCAACCTGCCACCCACTTCAGTTGCATTTATCGTTTCCGTATTAAAAATAATAAGGCTTTCATGTCCGCTTAATTTTACTTTAGAGACGACAACATTCACAGAATCACATTATAGTTTCTCAACCAAGTTGCCCTCTTCCCACCTCTCTTCTTTATGTACAAACCTGAAGATGCGAGATCCCATGTGGATGAATGTACAACAAAACTATCTCCAGTTCGGAAAAGCCCAGCGTTGCTGATGACTGACATATCATTGTACAGAAGAATGCACTAATGTTATCCCGTCGCAGTCATGGATGCTGATGCCTTAATGGATAAAGTTGCAGGACAGTCGTTGCCACCATCATGATTGCTACTTCCGAGGGTTACACCATTGCTGAGGGGTTCCCCCCCACCGGCTTCACCTCCAACTTGCTGTGACCGATTGCCTGATGAATTTTCACTGCCACCAGAACTTGACAATCTCTGTTGCTTGAGATACCTTTCTGTGGCATCTTGGAGCAACTTCATCATGCTGCCAGAATCAGAGCCAGGTGACAGCTCTTCCTCCCGCTCTGGCTGGATATTCAGGTCAATTTGGCCTTTAAAAGGTGGGGTTGATGATTTCGTCCTGTTAAGGTCATCATCAGAAAGTTCAAGGACCTCCTTTTTCTGGTTTGGACTACTGCTTCCTGCGTTACAACATATGGGGGTGTCGTCGTCTAGTTTATCAATCACTACCAATTGCTGCTGCTGCTGCTTTTTGCGTGTACTTTCTGCTTCTTTTTCTGATTGTTTCTTCTCACGCCGCATCATTAATGTACGGAAACGGCGCTTCACTGTTAAGCATACATTACAGGTGCAGGTTTGCTTGTGTTTTGGACCCTTCCCACTTGGGGGTTGGATGCAGACAATGCATGAGCATCCAGGTCTATGTCGGGGGTGCTTTGTGGTGGCTTGAGCTGATGCTGGGAGTGACTCACCCTCTCCCAAGATAGCGAGGTTTGCAAGTGTGTCAAGCCCTTCCAGAGCTTCAATGTTATCTGGGTCCTGTTTAGCAGCCTTCATTTTCTTGGAAGTAACTGCCCAAGCAGAATATAAAAAAACAATGATAAGCACATGTATGATGTAAGAGGAAAAAAATTCAAGTATGAAAGGAAAGAACCATTTTAAACATAAGCAGGCAAACATAAGAGAATGGGACCCAAAGCCAAGTTATGACACATTACTCAATGAGCTCTGGATTACAATAATTGTCTCAAGCAATTCATACCTGTACTATGTGAAGGTAGAAGATCTTCAAGCTGTTCTGCTGTCAAATCTTGCGCTGCTGAACACGAAGATCTGGTAGATAATTTTTAACATATAAAAAGTAGTTTATCAATATGTGCACGTCCTTGGAGTTCATATCAATTTAAGGTGAACTTACAGAAAATGTCCATTTTACCTTTCAGGGTCCCATGAATTATCAGAACAAGTCCATTTAGAGGGTAGAAGTGCATTCATAGGCAGTTTGCGCCATTTGAAACAATCTTCGCATTGAGCCCATTGAATCTTCTCACTGGGAAGAACGGAAAAAATCATTAGATATGGAGATTAACAGATAGAAATTTAAATAAAATAAAATAAAAAGCTTCAGGGTAAAGAATACACAGGATGAAAGTAACTCTTCCGATTCATTCTAGGCATTAAAACATGCTCCATATGTGAAGACCAAGACAAGGTCTGGAAAGGAGGAAACCCCAAATACTGTCTTCCATGCAATTGGTGCACAGTTGGACACCACCCATTTAACATATTTTTTTTTTTTTTTTTTTTTTTTTTTTTTATTTGAAAAACAGCATTTTCTTACCTTGAAGAGTACAAGGCAAATCAGAGAAAACAAAAAGCATACCATGTATAATCTAACAAGAAGAAAATAACCAGACAGCCCTAAAAAAATCCCCATTAGGCTCTTCGAAATATTCCGGAAATCTAAAATAATTATAAAAATTTCACCCAGCAGCAGCACCTAGGCACAAAATTTTTTGAACCACAAACTTATGAATAAATTTTCTCAATAAATATGCAAAAGTTAACTAAAGCATTAAAAAGTAACACAGAAAACTAATATAGAAGTCTTCAGAAACAGATCTTAGCACTAAAAATGATTTACCCTGCACTGCCCGTAGCATAAATTGTTGGCATCCCAAGAATTGGAGCATCCTGTAAGAAATAGCAGATGTCAGAATCCATAATGGAGGGATCCAAACCCTATATTCAACATGATAACATAGTTAGAAGACATAACACATGAAAAACTACAAAGATGCAATGAAAGATGTAACACTGCCATATGAGCACCAAGAGGTATTTCCCGCTTTATGTGAGGAAGCTTTGATTCAACATTTGACATGGGGTTTTTGGGTTCGGGACGGTTGGGAAATAGGTGAGGGCAGCCCTCATTATATTGTGTCATTCAGCCAAAAAATGAATAGAAGTATTCACAACTTGTAACAAGTTTTGTAAAGACCCAAACCAAGAGAAGGATTCTTGCATCCAGAAAAGAAGAGAGGGGAATCACTAGCAGACCAGAAAACTCTACAAGTATAAGATCACAAGCTTTTATAAAGTAAAATTTTCAAAAGCCACTTTGGAATTATTCAAGTAAAAGCTGTCTGAAATAATTAATTAATTTTTTAGTTTTGGAAGTCAGTATCGAAATGGCGTACAAATAAAGTGTATCAATGTAGTTCCATCATAACAAGATACGATACTAAGAATTCTTCACGGTTCTCATCACAAGATACAGAAGTTATTGTACCTCTCGTTATTTTCTCGGGGCACTTAGCAATTGTGATGTATTAGAAAACAAATCCATGGAACAGTTGTGGTCAAAGGGAAAGAACACAGACATCATAGTGAATTGGATTGCACACACACATCAGAGTGATTGAACAAGAAAAATTATGAGCAACATTTGGCAATGTGAATCCTATCAAAAAAGTAATCATAATTAACTATGTACCTCATATTCCTCAAACTCAAAGCCTTCAATCACAACAACAGTAGGTATATGGTTAGCAGGAGCGCGAAGCAGGCCTTGAGCTTCTTCCCATGTTAACTTCAGTTCTATCAGGTCTTCATTTTCAATTCTCAGGCGCTTACTCTTAGAACCCAAGGTACTGTTCTTCCTTTTTCTAGAGATCAAAGACTTAGATCCCAGTGCTTCCTTTGCTATGTAACCAGACTTATCAACTTTAGACCATGAGCTAGGATCTGCCAATTCAGCCTGGTTCATTGATGAAAATCTAGGTGATTCTGTACCATATTTAATGCGACATCTGAACCATTTTTTATATGACAAATATTGAAAAAGCTTAACCAGAATTAGTTTCTGTTATACTAACATCTGCAAGGGCTGAAACTCCATTGCTTGCCTTGTTTGTCTCGTTTTCCTAAAAAGCAAACATAAAGTAAAAGAAAACGAAGCCTTAGTAGTAGACCTTACAGAAAACCAAATGCAAAGATCCATATAAAGGAACAAAAATGCATTCAACAAAAATTATCAAGTAATTCAAAGCAGACTCAGAAACAAAATACCATGGTCATCCAACTTAACTGATGTGCATACTGGAAATATAAAATACTGCCTTTTAATATGGTTACCAGTTGCCATTTATCCACTTAAATCACGCATATATCGCCAATCACAACTAAAAAAATAGTCACAAGGAAATAGGTGTTGAGCAGCAAAAAACCTGATCAGATGGTGGGGCAGTTGAAGCCTTTCTGAACCCCATAACCAATTTCCCTTCTGGCTCCAATCGACTAAAGGTTACTGATAAAACAGAATAACTCTTCAGTGCCAAAGTGAGGGAACAAAGTAACAAGATGGATTAAATCATAGTAAGCTGACAACACACACACAGTAGGGAAATTACTAATACACACACAGATCATATATATATATATATATATATATATAGGGGCATGAAAACAAGAAATTACATAAGGAAACATGGAAGACACTCTTCG